AATAAATTGTGTATTTTAAAGTTTTACAATTGCTTTTTCTTTTTTTTTTTCTTCCAGAAAACCTGGAGGGTGGGAAAAGGGGAACCTAATTATCTAGATTAGGTAACTCTTATAAAAGTTACTAGGGAGCTACTCCAAAATCTAAGTATGGGTTTGAGTCATACTCGTCCATTGATGGCTTTAATTTTCTGCAGTAGTTCTTAGGTATTACCTGGTAACTTGCATAAGAAATGGGCAGTCTTTTGGCAAAATAAATTAAATGTTTCAGCTTTGATGATAATACTTTGTATTTTGGGATATACCGCAAATTCAGCAAATTCATAAGTGTTTTCTCATAACAGGTTTCCAAACCACAGTCTGGGGAAATGTCTATTCTGACACAAATTCCATTTACTTTCAAATTTTATACAGTAGTATTCAAGAATTTATTCTAGAACAGTTTGTCTTCAGCTGTGGGGATCCTTTCTCATACATCGGGGAACTGAGCCTGGATCTAGACACTCTTTTGTGGACCTGCTGGAAGATGAACTGCTCAGGCAGCTGCGGGTCTGGGGCACTTGCCGCCAGGTCAGTGACATTATTCTCGCCCACAAACTCTCTGCATGGTCAAGGCTTTACGATGTAGGGAGAATGAGCTCACCACCTTCTGACAACCATTTCCTCATACACTTAGTGGGTTTACCTAGAAAACACAACTGATGTTAATGTTTGCTAGAAACTGTATTGCTCCCTCTCCTCTGCTCTTGTCTCCAATGAAAGCAAGAAAGATTATTTAATATATATAGTAGGGCTTCTGAGATAAACTTTGTTGTTGCTGACGCAGAGATGGCAACTCCCTAAGGGGAGGTGGAAGAAAATGTCCATTCCCAAGATAGCTATGCAAATTTCTATCAGGAATGACGTTGAAAGCACACTTTGAGACCTATTTACTTATTTGCAATTTAAGTCTTCTTGATAGGACTTACTATTCAGTTACATTACTATTCAGTTCCCTTTCATACATAGTTTTAATTAAGTGCATATTGTAGTATAGCTAATATTAGGTGTTAATATTACAGTCACATCCTTTTCTACTAACGAGTAACTTCTATTCTACCGGGGAGTTAATTTTTTAAATGAAATATTAACCTGGCCTTTTAAACAACAGAGTTGGTGTCATGATTTTAGAATGTGCGTTTCTCAGATAAAACCTGGGTTTAAATAAAAGTCTGGATCATTAATGGCCCAGTGAACTGAAGTTTGTCTTCAGCAGTACTGAATCTCCTTTGCTCTACATTTGAGAATCAGGAAAGCAATGATGAGATAACACTACTCTAAATGCACATAAAAGGAGAACATCTTAAAACATGGGGCGAGTATTTTAAAGTCTTGTAAAACACTGAACACTATAGATTTGCTTTATTAGCTATACACGATCCTGCCTCGTGTATTTTCCGAGGTGCCAGGGCCACCAGCACTGAGAACCCCCCCAGCTTTCAGGTGACGTACGGGGAAGCCAGCGCCACGTCGAGGGCAACACAGAGTCGAGAGCAGCAGCGCAGGGCAGCCCATGACTTCATCACGTCATCACATGGCAAATTGGCGGAAACGTCACCAAATAACATGCAGGGCACATTAACGAAAACATCTAATCCCACCTCCCTAGTAATGGAGAAATGTTACTTTCCACACTTAAATTAAAGCTGGTTCAGTGTGGAAATGGCTGAGGGCCTCCAGCCCTGCTGCCGCCTCGCTCAGGCTGTGTCCTGACCTCGCTCTGTTTCCTGTGATTCACAGAATCTCCCTAACATCCCAGCTCGGCTGCCGACGGCACACGTAACAGGGATGTGGAACTGGTGCTGAAACTCTGGTGAAAATATCCCGCTGAATTGTGATTTCCCTTTCTACCGCACCCTGCAGAAAATTCTGAGAATTTTCTCCTGCCCTCAGCAGCAGAAGCAAGCGCGGCCGGGGCTGCCTGGAGCTCCCTTGGGGCTCCCCCGGCCCCCGGGGGCTCCGGGGGGCTGCCACGCCGGCCTCGGGCGCTCCCCACGCGGGGCCGCGGCGAGAGGGA